TCTGGGTGTGCTCGGAAGGACTGTGTGGATTTTCGGTGTCCCGCTAATCCTCCTGTGCTTGCGCTATGTTCACGTGTGCAAGTGTTGTGTGTGGATGGGCTCTGCACCGTTGTACGTGCCTGTGCGTGTCTATGTGTATCGAGTCTCCTCGTGTGTGTTTTTGTGTGAGCTGGGAATGAGAGAGCAACTCCCTTTATGGAGGCTTTGGAAAGTATGGAGTGTTAAGTCGCAAGCCCCCTCGGGGGCTCTGACCCCAAACCAACTGTTCACCTCTCACCCCTGATAGGAACTATGCAAAGGCAGAGGAGGCAGTTGTTTAAACATAGATTAAAACAGCCACTGTTTTCCTCTTCCTCTGGAAGAAACACCTATGCAGCCCTGAAGTCCTAACCCTGGTTGGGGGGAGAGGAGGTGGGCAACTTGTGGCAAAGGCAAGATCAAAGGGACTCAAAGAGTGCGTAGACACAAAACCCACTTTGCAGATCACACAACGGAGACAGGGAGAAGGGAAGGGACTAGGTCAGGGTCCCACAGAGGCCGTCACTGGTCCCAGAGCTCACCAAACCCAGCTCGGAGCCATAGGAGTCTGAGTTTTGTCCAGTGGCCTAAGTCCCAGATGAGAGTGCCGGGAAGAGATGAGAGATAGTAATAGTCTCCATTCCCTGGCTGCCAACCCATTCCATTCCCCTCTAAGTGAGGTTTGCTGTCTCCCCCAGTATGTGTGTGTGTGCCTGGGGGGAAGAGGGCCTGAGGCAGGGTCTTTTGGGGTTGGGAATGCAGTGGGACGCGAGGGGGAGACAAAATTTCTCCTTTGGCAGGGTCTCACTCCAGGCTCTTAGGGTTCCTCCCCAACCTCCTCCCCGAGGGGTTAGCAGCTTCCTCTCCAACCCCACTCACCTTCAGAACTTTCCAGGCTTGAATGGTACAGTTAGGGACGGGGGTCGGCTGGCCTCACTTCCCGCGGAGAGTGGGGGGGACTTGCCTGCACGTCCCTCCCCTCCCGCCCCAAGGACGCCTGCCCCAAAATTGTTATGCAAAGGAGTCAAGTACGTGATCAAAGCGACAAAGCCAAATATTAGAAGAGAAGTCAATAATGGGTGAGCGGATTAAGAAACCTGCTTTCGGATAATTATTGTCCCAATTGAAAAAGTACCGTCTTCCCCTTATTTTTCCCTTATTCTCCCCCCACCCTTCAAATATAAAAGAAAAAATACGTGAAGGATAGGAGTTGGGGCGTGTGGCTGAGAAAGGCGGCAGCCGAGTGCGCGTGAACGAGCGAGCTCACGGATGAGTCGGTTGAGGGGAGTTGACGCCCCTAGGGGTGACCCGAAGGGTCTCGGTGTGTTCTCTGACCCCGCGGGCAGAGCCTTGCCCTCTGCACCCAGTGCTCATTGACCCCTTCCACGGAGCGTGAGGCCTCTCTGAGCCCAAGGCTGGAACCAGAGTTTCTAGGGATTGTCTTTTCAAAGCATTAGGCACCTAGCCTGAGCTCCCCCGCTACACCCCTTATTGTCCCCTTTCTCTGGGGAGAGACCCTAGGCCAGCGGCTGGGGCGAGGGGCCGAGGGGAGGCGGCGCTGTCGAATTCCCGGCCCGTTTTGCTGTGAGGAACGCGCCACCTGTCGGTGCCTTTGGAGAACTGCGGCTGTGTGGTGCTCAAGACCGAGGTTTGTGATCCAAGTCCCCGACCCGAGGGGGAGAATTTTGGCCTCTTTCCCTGTCAGCCAGCGCCTGACCGAGTGTAGACGACGGGATTCCGGGAAAGGATCCTTCTTGGGATCCTCTCGCCTCCTGAGAGCCAAAGCCCGAGACAAAAAACCCACGTGGGGCCCTTTGCTCTGTGATTCAGAAAAGTAGAAAATGCCTGAGACAGACAGCGGGATGCGCTGCGTTGGGAGTCAGGGACTGGGTTCCTTAGCCCCCTCTCTCTGCAATGTGACCTTGAGCTGAGCCGGTTTCTTTATTCTAAACTGAGGGTATTAGATTAAACGGATCCCCTCTCCACTCTGACCTTGAATCTAGCATTGAATCTGAGCCATAAATGTAGGCACTTGTGTCTTTTTTTATATCTTCTTTATATATATACCATATCTTTTTTTATTTTTATGGAGTTCGATTTGCCAACATATAGCATAACACCCAGTGCTCATCCCGTCAAGAGGCACTTGCGTCTTATTTTCTTTCCATTTCTAATTCTTCATAAGTCTCAGACCTTTATATGCCATTTATAGCCTAATCTCTTATACATATTTAATGTATAGCTGCTTTGATTATACTATTGTTTTCTCAGTTGTCCAAGGATTTCATTCGATGAGAGTCAGATTGTTTCTTGGCCCGAATTACCTTGGTAAGTGCCCATTTACTAAAATCTTTTTAAAAAGAAAACAAGTGAACTTTGTTCACTTTGCAGTGTGAACACGTTGGGGAGGACTCATGTCACGGGGCCAGTGAGAACATAATGGATGCTACTGTGGAAGGCTTAGATGAGAAGACGCAGGCCCTGGATGTGGGTTAGTGTCAAAACAGGACTGAAGAAGTGCCACACCTGGAAAGAACGGTGAGGCTAGGAACACTGCAGGTCCATCTCCACTGCCAGGAGTGGACTGGCCCCCAACCAGAGGCCCCGTCACAGAGAACAGAAAACTCAAGCGTTAAGACCAGTGTAGGATAGCTTAAACCTCAAACCACTTCCCCTTGAACTCTCCACGAAATTAATAAAGAATGGAAACCCAGGCGGAGGGAGCTCAGGTTACCGGGAGATCGGGTATAACTTGCGCTTGGAGTTCCAGGCTTGCGCCCTCCAGGAAAGCCTGGTTCCGTGGGATGGGGCTGTTCTGCCAGGCCTGGCGCCCAAACGTGGGGCCACCTGGCCGAGTTAGGCTGGTTGGGCAGCCGCAATTGGTCCATGCCTGACGGAACAGCAGATGGGGCCCCTAACCTGGGTCTTCAGCTTTCCCCGAGTGGCTTTCCCCTATCCCCTTATCCGCAGCAGAGCAGAGGCCGCACATCCCTTCCCCTGGGACTAAGAAACTCCCCTGGGGACAATCAGAGCATTTGCCACTTTAAACCCTGGACCCTTTACTTTCCCATTGGAGGGGACATTTCTGTTCTTTCGGTCTGTGAGTCCAGGAATAGTTATGCGATGGCTGGCTCCTGGGGGTGGTGGTGAATTTCAGCGTCTCAACAACCCCCCACAACCCCCCACCCAAGTGTGATTCAGGCTTGGGGTTAGTGGTCCTATTTAGAGATAGAAAAATCAAGATGGGGAGGTCTGATCATCTGTCCTGTGAACGGCAGTGTGAATACAAACTGAGGCCTGAAGTCTTAGTTGGTGTCCTGGCCCTGACTCCCGTCCCGGTGGTCTGTGTGGCTCAGGGTTTTTCACCGTCTCTCCGGAAGCACAGTACCACTGGTGGCCTCAGGTTTGCCGATTCTGGTTCTTGGTGCCTTAGGACTCATACAGCCTGTGACAGCACTTTCTTTCCCAGCCCCTCAGTCCTGACCCATGGAATTCCGAACTTGGTGCCTGCCTTTTGGCCTCTGTATAGCAGTCCTGGGGTCAACTGCCTCCCCACTAAGCCAAGTCGGCCTGGGAAATTGGGAGTTCCAGGCCTGGGCCTAGCACAGTGGGTATCCAGCCTGGGGCAGCCTGGGGCAGACGCTGTGGGCTGAGCGGGGTGGGTGTGTGGACACCCTCCTTGCCCGCCAGATCGGGAAAGCAGGGATTCTGTTTCTATCCTGTTGGGTCCCCTTGTCGGGACTCTCCCAGGCGGACCACTGGAACCTGGACTTCAGGAATCAAGGTCAAGACACGGGGGCGAGTGTGTTCCCAGGAGCTGACCAAGAGGCAGGAACCTTCCAGAGCCAGCGAACCCCGCTCCAGCTTGCGTTGCTCTGACCAGCTTCCAACTTCAGTGGTAGGGCTGACATCGGAAAACGAAGGGATTTATTTTAAACATTTCTTACATTTCACTCTGACTTTGAGGGTCTAGGAAGGGGAGATCGGTGGGGAAGAGAGGAAGAGACAAGGGGAGAGGGAGGGAGAGGGAGAAAGGTTAGGGATGGGGAGGGAAGGGGGCGGGGAGCCAGCAAACCGGCGGATCGGCCCTTCCTCCAAAAAGTGAGGGAAGGATGGCGGAGTAGATAACCAGTATTTATCGGGTTTTGCTCGGAGCAGGCTCGCCCTCTCTCGGGCCGGGTTAGCTCCTTCAATCTTCACTGCAACCCATCCTCGGTTTCCTCCTTTTAAGCTGGAGAGGGGGATTTAGCCCTAAACTAGCCCAAGGGCCTGTCCTTAGCCCGTTGAAAATGGAGAACCCACTGTCCCCAGCTCCCGAGGAGCCAGATGGGGACCGGTGGGCTCCGGGATCTCTTGAGGTCGCTGCGCAGGCCCCACGGAGGACGGAGATTAGTTTCCCTCGCACGGACAAACGCGAGGCCTCGGCGCTCCCAAGGCCTCCAGTCGGCCGCGTCCCGCCAGCCGTGCGCCTTTGGCTGCGGGGGTCGGTCCGGGAGCCCCCAGCCCGCCCTGCACGCCAGCCCCCGCCCGGGACCGAGAACGGGAATCCCAAAGCCTCGGCCCGCTGCGGGGAGACCCCGGCTTGCGTCGCACCGAGGGCCCCGCCCGAGAGCCGTGCGGAGGCCGCAGCGTCCCCCGGCCCGCACCGTGCGCCTTGTCTCCGGGCGCGCGGTCCCGAGCGCAGGGATCCCGGGAAGCGCCAGCAGCGGCTCGGCCTCGGTGCCTGTCCCGGCGGACGCGGCAGAGATGCTGGTCTGGGCAGGCCCGCAGGCCCCCGCTCCTGGGGCGCCCCCGCTCCTGGGGTGCCCCGCTCCTGGGGTGCGGCATCGTCGCCACCCCGGCCCCAGGCTCAGTGGCTCGGTTCAGCGTCTACTAGGGGGTCGCCAAAGCCCAGACTTTTCAGACTTGCCCCCTCCCCTCCCCTCCCCTCCCCCCCCCACCCCACAGCAGCCGGCGAGGACCCGACCGGGATGTACAAGGAACTCAGGTCCCGCAAAGACGAGCCTGCCTCCGAGCTTCCCCAGACTCGCGCTTCAACTGTCCCAGTGCGGATAAGGACGGTGGGTGGGTCCCGGGGGCCGTTGAGGCAGGTGGCAAAACCTCCAGGACCCAGCGTTTCCCAATCACGCCGGGGCGGTCACCCCTCAAGGTCGCTTCTCTCCCGGTCCTGGCAGTCCATCGAGGGGTCGCCCACCAAGTCGCGGGGAGCAGCCCGGACAAGCACCCGGAGTGGGGACAGAGAGGAAAGGAAGCGAAGCCTGTGGGAGGGAAGGAGGGGACCCTGGACCAGCACTGCCAGGAGACACAGCTCTACCGCCCGATCTTAACCCCAGGTCGCCCGCAGGCCAAAGGGAAACATAACCCCGTCCCTACCGCCGAACGTGCCTCGGTCCTATGCAAAAGGGGCATCGGTTGGTTCCACCCCGGGCCACCGAGAAGGACTTTCAGGGAGGCGGAGAGAATGGAGGTGCCTGGCTCGCTTTAGCAAAGCACAGGTGTGTGCGAGGTGGGGCTGGGGTTGCTCCCCCAGGGTGGTGGGAACCTACAGCTAACCGCCCAAGATTTCAGGCGTCCCTCCTCCGTTCGTTGAGCCTGGGCTGCATCCCTCCCCTTTCTCTTTCCCGAAGCTTTAGCAGGGAGGGAAATGAGAGGCCTTGTACCAAAAAAGGTATTATTGTCTCCGAAGTAGAACCTATGGCTTCTCATGGCCCTTCTGGGGCTCTAAGGCCCCAGAGAGAAGCCTCCAGAGCCAGCGAGAGGCAGAGAGGCCTGCACCCAACACTCCTAGTTTTAACAGACCGAATTAGAATTAGGATTTGTCAAACACTAAAGCCATCCTATCAGAGCGGCCTTAGGTTTGGGAATCACCACCCTGGGATTTTTAAAGTTACTTTAATGGAGAGGTTTGGAATGAGACTAAGGGTGTCAGCAGTTTTGAATAAAAGTGAACTTGAACTTGACTGACACAGGCCTTTTTTTTTTTTTTTTTAAGGTGTCTGGACCTTCAATCACAATATACCAAGGAAGAGACTCCACCCCCACCACACTGCTGGAGGTTAATGGGTGCCTTGATAGGCCCTGGGGCTTGGGGATGCAGAATTTGCAGGGAGTTGGGGGGCAGTGATCTTACCTGGGTCACCGGAGAGAATAAAAGCCAAGTGACTATTCAGCATCCCCTCTTCCCCACCAACCTTTAGCATTTCTCTCTTCCTCCTGTCAGTCTCCCAGCTATCAAGTGTGGACTCGACAGGAATGTTGCAAGGAAAAACTAATTAAACGGCAGTACAATGCTTTGAAAATATTAAGTGTCATGTAAATGCCTAATGCTAATAATAATCTTGATGGTGGTAATTATGTGCCAGGAAGCACATCCCAGACAGCCCAGCACTAAGCCCAAATGTGCATGTCTCGGAGGATCCTATGGAACGCCCATCGTTTCTGCTCCAGCTCAGAATGGCCTGGTGGAAGACGGGAGCTCCAGGTAACGCCCCCATCTCCAGAGAGGCAAAGTGGCGGGGTGGGGTGCAAGAGTCCTTAACTTACTGCGCTCTCTGCTACAGAAGGCCCATCAGGCCAGTAGAGTGGGGAATTGGAAATTCTGGGGGAGTGGCCACAATGGGGCGCACCCGACAGGCTCCATGGTACATTCGTGTCCAGGTCTGACCTTTGTGAGCTGGATGCCTTCTGGTTTCCAGAGCTTGGTTAAGACATTGCCGCGGAGCCTCTAGGTGGAGTGAACGAGAAGAATGTTCTCTTAAGGACACATATCCCTCGCTTCTCTTTCCCCCAACTCTGAACTCTGGGTGGGAGGGGCATTGGGGTTCTTGGATCTTCTCTTCAACATTTTTCTAGTTTGGTGAAACACCAGGCCCTCCCAGAATTCACAGTTTCCTTATAAGGCAATTTGCCACCACCCATCCCTCACCCCCATTTTCTCCAAACGGAAGCTTCTAGATACCGCTGCCACTACCGCTGGCCTGGAGCTTTGGGGCACTGAGGTCTGCCAAAACCAGTGGGGACTTTGAGGCAGCAAATTATGGTGAGTCATGATGGAGGCTTTTGGGAATTTCCACCCCAGAAATCACTGGGTCTTGGAGGGGTTTTATACAATCACCTAGATACTTTAATGACACTCCTCACCCTTGAACCTGCCCTAATTTCATTTCTTAGTGACTAGGAGAGTAGTTACAAGTTTAGGTTCCTCTAGCTGCCGTTCTTGGGTCTCCCTCAATTTGGTTTGAGGTTTAGCTTTTACTGCAACATGATGACATACCCCTTCCCATTTGGGAAGTGACTGATTTTTGATAGTGATAGTGCCCTGACTATTTATTTAAAGATTTTATTCATTTATTTATGAGAGACACACAGGGAGAGGCAGAAACACAGGCAGAGGGAGAAGCAGGGTCCCTGTAAGGAGCCCGATATGGGACTCGATCCCACATCCCAGGATCATGCCCTGAGCTGAAGGCAGACATTGAACCGCTGAGCCACCCAGGCGTCCCTATAGCTGACTTTTAAAATTTATTAATCAATAAAATAAATTTATTATTCAAATGAAGCAAATTCTTGTCTACATATTTTTTTTAGAGAGAAGGGTTAGGGGCAGAGGAAGATGGAGAGAGAGAATCCTGCCCAAGGTGTGAGCCCAACATAGGGCTCGATCTCATGCCCCTGAGATAAAATGACCTGAGCCAAAATCAAGAGTCAGACCCTAACTGACTGAGCCACCCAGGTGCCCCTCTTGTCTACATTGAAAAACAAATGCTTTGTTTTATTTAGGGTAAGGCTTCGGTAACTCAAAAATGCCCTACGTTTAAAAGTGTCATGTAGGGGGGCATCTGGCTGGCTCAGTTGTATGAGCAGGTGACTCCTGATCTCGGGGTTGTGAGTTCGAGCCCCACATTAGGTGTAGAGATTACTTTTAAAAAAAAAGTGTCATGTAGGGCAGCCCTGGTGGTGCAGCGGTTTAGTGCTGCCTGCAGCCCAGGGTGTCATCCTGGAGACCTGGGATGGAGTCCCACATCCAGCTCCCGCATGGAGCCTGCTTCTCCTCTGCCTGTGTCTCTGCCTTTCTCTCTCTATGAATAAATAAATCTTTAAAAAAAAGTAAAAGTGTCATGTAAATGTACCTTTAAAAATAACCCTTTTTACATGTCATATAGAAACAGGTGGTTTCCCAGCTAATTCCTTTTTTAAAAGGCACTCGAATGGTTAACAACTGTGGCAGCTAGGGTTTGGGGTTTAGGGCATGTTAGATGCGTTAAACTTTGAGGAGGTTTATGAGGTCAGACACTGACCACACACAAACACACACACACACACACACACACACAGAGTCCAAAGAAATTCTGTAGTTTGCATTTCACACTTCCCTGTCCGAATACAGGCTTTGCTTTTTATTTCATCTTTGGACCCCATGCCCAGCCTCCTCACATATATTCTAGTTGAGAAATGGTGATGCTTGTGACACACAGGCTCGCAGGCCAGCAGGCTGACCTCAGGCCACCGCCCTGCCTGCCATGCCATCCTGCTTGCTGCTTCCTTGGATGAGGAGAATCTCTACCCGAAACCCCTCACACGCGAAACTCCTCACAGTTCCCAAATGCCAACGTTAGGAATCGACAATTCCTGCAATTCAAAACTGTGATTGTTCCACTGACACCCCCAACCTCTCAAGCGACCTGGAAGGCAGGCAGGCACTTCCAGGCTGTAGATTGTATAGTCACACATCTGGGACAGTGGGTTAGTGAAGTGTGGTGGCCCTTCCCCAGCCCTGACTTGTTTTCTGGCTTGAAGGGGAACCCCCGCCTCCAGCCTCCTCCCAGTCATCACTGCACAGGAGTGTGAGCTGTGGTCTGAGAACTTTTGGGGAAAAGAGTGGAGTTAGTAGGCACAGCATCACTTTTGTGACTTTTTAACAAGTTTGTTTTGTTGTTGGTATACTTAGCTCCCCCCCAAGATTCCTGATGCATCATGAAGAATCTGATTCCAAATCAGATAAGTCACTGAGTGAAACACATTTGATGGTGCAGATAAATTTTTACAACAGCTGTGGAGTCAGCCTGGGTGTTTTCATAAAGATACTGTTCACCAGAAAATATTCTCTCCCCCAGGAATTTCATAGCAAACATTTTGTTTCACATTTTGGCACTTTGGTTCTCCTTGGTTGGTGGTAGGGGAGCGTGGGGGTGGAGCTGAGGAGACGGAGGGGGCCTGATTCTAGATTACAAGGAGGAAGCAAGGAGAGGATGGGGCTCTGTAGTGAGACACCCCAGGCTCTGGCAAACCCCCTACCCATGCCACCCGAAGCGTGGAAGCTTGGCCAACTCTACTGGGTGCTTTTACCACCACCACACACAGGACTCCCAATCTTTTTTTTTTTTTTTAAGATTTTGTTTATTTATTCATGAGAGATACAGAGAGAGAGGCAGAGACATAGGCAGAGGGAGAAGCAGGTTCCCTGCAGGGAGCCTGATGTGGGTCATGATCCCAGGACCCCGGGGACCACACCCTGAGCCCTGAGCCGAACGAAGGCAGGGGCTCAACCACTGAGCCACCCAGGTGCCCCCAGGACTCCCAATCTTTATTTGACATCTGTAATTCTATCCTGAGTGCTGTGCTGCCTGTGAGATGTGGGAACTCACTCATCTTATTTAATAATTTGGGTTAACTTTAAAAACACTCTGGTTCGGGATCCCTCGGTGGCGCAGCGGTTTAGCGCCTGCCTTTGGCCCAGGGCGTGATCCTGGAGACCCAGGATCGAATCCCACGTCGGGCTCCTGGTGCATGGAGCCAGCTACTCCCTCTGCCTATGTCTCTGCCTCTTTCCCTCTCTCTCTCTGTGACTATCATAAATAAATAAAAATTAAAAAAAAAGAACAAAAAAAGCACTCTGGTTCAAGCAGGCTGTTCAGGAAATGGGGCTTCTATTCTGGGGTTACAAGCCCTTCTCCCCCACCTCCTCCATGGGCTGTCAACACAGTGCCAGACACTGAAAAACAATCCCTCCAGAAACTCCGATGTTTCCACACTGTAGGCTGTTTGGCTCTGAGATCTGAAATGTTCAGCATTTTCTTCAGATAATAGCAGGTTAGCAGGTCCCACAATAGCCTGGGAGATTAGGTTCCCCTTCCGCCTCTCCTCAGGAGTCCACAGAGTAGAGTGGGTCAAAGGTCTGTAGAAACCACCAAACAGAAATGCTCCCTAAGCCTGTAGGGCCCGGGGTGGGGGTTCTGGGGAGCAGCAATAGCTCCCTGAGACATTCCCATTTCTGTCCAGTGGACACTCCTCCAGCATTGTCTAGATGAGATGCCCTGGCCCGGTGTGAGGTCCAGAGTGGCACAAGGGATGAGAGCACCAGGGTTTCCAGAGCGGGCAGGCTGGCCTTCCTCCAGCATGTGTCCCAGGGAAGCTGGTTTGATGGGAAGCCTGGCAAATTCAGCTAATCAGGGCGGTTAATGTGAGTGGGAAGGTGGGAGAGAGTTACAGGTTTTGAACTCACTTTGCTATGACACATCTCTGGTGAGCCAGAGTTACTTTTCCTGTGTTCTCTTAGTTTTTCCCGTGGAGGGAAAACCTTGTGGCCCACATCCTTCTGTAAACCCATATCCCAGGTCTCCAGTCTGTGAGTGAAAAAGGAGAAGAGTGTGTCACAGTTATGAAGATTACAGGGAGCTGATGGTGAAATTTCAGGCATTATCTAGCAGGTGGCAAAGATTCTGGGGAATCCAAATTGTCTCTGTGCTAGCTGATAAATCATCCTTGCACTTGGGATGAATTCTCCTTGGTCCCAATAGCCCTTCATTATATGTAAACTATTTCTCAGAGCTGGTGTGTGTGACTTTGTCTCAGCTCTGCCAACAGAGTGGCCACTGGGCACTTGAAATGTGGCTGGTCTGAACTGAGATGTGCTGACAATGTAAAACGCACACCAGGTTCCAAAGACTTAGCACGACAAAAGGAATATGAAGTATCTCATCAATTTTTAAAATATTTATTGTATGTTGATACAATAATATTTTGAATATTGGGTTAAATAAAACATTATTACAATTTATTTCATTTGTTTATTTTTAATTTCTTTTAATAGCTATAAAAACATTTAAACTGGCTAATGGGCACTAAGGAGGGCACTTGATGGGATGAGGACTGGGTGTTATGCTGTATGGTGGCAAATTGAATTCAAATAAAATTATTTTTAAAAATAGCTATTAAAACATTTAAGATTATATACTCAGTTCGCATACAGAGCTCACATTTTATTTCTTTTTTAAACAAAATATATTCTTTATTTGAGAGAGA